AGAAATCTAAAATTACTATATCTATATATAGGCTGCGCAACGAGTTGGGCTAAACCCAGTTGAAAACCCGGAACCCAACCTAATAGGGTTAAATTAATTAGGTTTCTAAAATAGCTAAAAACCCAACGGGTTTTTTAATCGGGTTAAAAAAAAAGAGGATAGGGTTTAAAACCCAATAGGGCTGCTAAGAGTTACTAAAAATAGACTATTTTTAAGAAAAATAGAAATAATTACTATAAATAGTATATTTTTTACTAAAAATAGTAATAATCTAAGTAATAATCTCTATTTTTAGTAATTTAGGCTGCCAAGACTAAACCTAATAGGGGTATAAACCCTATTGGGTTTTTAGTTAATCGGGTTTTTATAAGGACTAAAAACCCTATAGGGCTTTTTGCTCGGGTTATAAAAGGTCTACGGGTTGTCCAACCTAACCCGTTGCGTAGCCTATCTATATAAGTACTTAATACTAAGCTTAAATTATATTTATTACTTATAATACTTAAATTTCTATCTTAAAGTATTTTACTAATATATAATAAGTTATATTTCCTCTTAATCTCCTTCTAATTAATACTATAAATACTTAAGGTATATTAATAATAGACCCCGAACGCTAGTATACGTAGCTCTTATACCCTTTACTATACTACTATATCTTCTCTACGATATTTATCGTTCCTCTACTATTACTCCTTTAATCTAGGTCTTAAATATATTTTATCTTATCCTTATCTAATACTACGACTACTACTACTACCTATAAGTTTTACTATTAATATAGTTAAGGTATTAAGGTAAAAAGGTTATATCCGAACTAGAAATTACGAAACGGTATTTATATAATACTAGTATAAATACTATAGAAGCGCCTATAAATTAGCTAAAGGCCGAAGCGTAAACTATAACGTAGTATAAGATTTCCGAGTAGTAGCGTAATAATAAATATATTCTTAGCGGCTATCGACTAGTAAAAGTAGACTATCTAGAATTCTTTACTAGCCTAACTTTCTTATATAACGAAACTTATAACGTATATACTTACTTAATTAAAGCTCTACTCTTACCGTTTATTACCTCTATTTCTATATAAGCCTTTTCCGACCCTCGATTTCTTAATATTTCCGAAGTTAACTATATTATATTCGGACTCTACCTTATAGTTACTAAAGTCTATCTAGGTTTTAGCGCTATTTACTATTTAATATAAGATTACTTAAAGAAAGTAGAAGTACTCTAGTATAAGATAGATTTACTAGGTATTATTATTATAACCGCTAGTATATTTATTTCGAGTATCTATTATATCTTTATTTATAATCTAAAATTATAAAAACTATACGTAGTAATTATATATTCTCCTAAGTAACTACTATTACTTCCCCTATAGACTAATATAAGATCTAGACCTTAATTAGGAGTAGTACTACTACTAGTTTTATTTTAAAACCTATATTTAGAACGCTACGCTAGCGGAAGGTAAGATTAGGTATCTACTTTATACTTAGGGCTTTATCGCTTATTCCGCTACTATACGGGGTCTAGCTATACGGGCTCGAGTATATAGTACAATATATAGGAATAAAATAGTATTTAATAGAGCTAGTTTTCTATAGTAGTAGAGCTAGTATATACGCGGTATAGTTATATACTTACTTCTATATCTACTATTTACTATAAAAGATAAGTAAGCTAATAAGTAGTTATAGTTCCGAATTCTAGAGCGCTTAGCGCCGGGTAAATTTAATATCTAGGGAAGCTCGTACTAGATTTTTTATATCTTTATCTTATACGCTATATTTATATATATAGTTACTCTAATATAGGCTTTTATAGCGTATTATATTCTAGATTTATATAAGGTCTAGGCCGCTTATCGAGTAGGATAATACTATATTATCGACCTAGCCCTTATTACTTAAAGGAACGCTAAGGGATAAGTATATATAATCCGAACCGGGATACGGTACTAATTAAGGTAAGGAGCCTTAATAAGTAGGTATTAGATAGTATAACTAGGTATAGTAAAGAGGAACTATTCTCGTTCGGGTTATCCTAAATATAGATATAGGATTATTAACGAAGTTAACTACGAATAGTCCTATCTAGGGTAGTAAGCGTATATATATAATGCTAGCTTAGTCGTATTACTCTATTATATTAATATACCCTTTCCTCGGGTTACGTAATATAGCTTCGTTCTCTATCGGCTAACCTTCCTTAAACCGTTCCTCGAAACGCGAGTTACCTATCCTAGCGAGCTTATCTATAACCTAGTTCGTAATATAGTATTAGGAACTAGTCCCTAGTAAGTATATAGCTAATAGGTCTAAGAATACTTCGTACTTCGCGTAAAATATCTAGTTTTTTTTAGAGTAGTTCTTAGGGGCTAACGGACCTATTCCTTATAATAAGGTACCTTATAAGAGGAAGAAAGTTAGTCGATAGAGAACGGAGTTATATTACTTATCTAGGTAAAGTTAGACTAATAGGATCCTAGAATAGATATATCTACTAAGCCGCTAGTATAATATAGTTATATATATATATATATTAATTACCCTAGATAGGGTTATTCGTAGTTAACTTCGTTAAAAATCTTTACCTATATCTAGCCTAAACGATAATAGTTCCCTTTATTATACCTAGTCTACTATATATCTTTAATACCTAATTATTAAGGAGCTACTATTATACTTAGCGAATCTAATTATAATACTAAAGAAATTTATATTTAAGTCTAGTTCTCTTCTATAATTACTCTTATACGACTATACTTATTTAACTTCGAAATTAGGAGTTTAGAGTAAAATATATCTACGTACTATAACTATCTAGAACCTAGTAATAAGTATTATATTAGGTTTAGGACCTAGAATATATATTACGATACTAATCCTAGGTACTAGTAGCGGTCGAGCGAATACGTTAGCTATAATTAATATAGTAAATACTTATTTATACGGGTAAGAGACTATTTTTAAGATTAAGCCTAGTTAGCTTACTATAAAAATAGTATATACTTTATAATAGGATTTATCTCGGAGCTACTATTAATTAGATTTAGCTATCTACTCTTCCTCGGTTCTCTATAGATTTTTAATCGTATAGGGGTCTCTTAGGTCCCGATTCTTAGCTCGATAGTTTTCGGAGTATATACGTATTTCTTATAGACTATAGTAGGTTTCGTGTCCTTAAGCTACGCGGTACGCGGTAATATAACGAAAAGATAATAGCGGTAGTAGAGATACTAACTTAAAACTCCTTATATAGTAGTAGTATAATCGCGCGTAATTTATCTCGTTATAGTAGGCTATTACGAGTATAGCTAGTAGGTTTAGCGACCGGTAAGTTTCTAGTAACTAATAGTTAATAGGTTTAATTATATCCTTAATCGCCTTCGGTATTATTAGTATAACTAATAGCGATTATATTCCTATAGCTTTCTTTATCGTTTTAATATACCTTATATACCTTAGTATTCCGATTTCGGTATTTAGTATAGTTACTATTAAAGATGTTTTCCATCCGGTAAGGGTAGTTTCGTTCGTTACGAGGGACGTCGGTTAGCTCTTAGTAATACGGGCTTAACTATAGATACTATATAATTAGCGAATTTTACTTATACTATTCCTATTTCTAGGGGGAGAGGTAACTATAATTATAATATCGACGCTTAGCGGTACGATACTCTAATTAAATATATATAAGAGAGAGTAGGTATCCTTAAGTCTTACCGGAAATAGCTTAAAACTTTAGCCTCCCTACGCGTTCGTTAAATTTAATTCTATTTATCGCTATATAGATTATAGGCGCTATAGGGTTAACTTAGATTCTAGATAGACCTAAAGTAGCTTTAGTTAAGCGTCGTAGACTTAACGGTCTAAGTATCCTTTTAGTCGTAGTTCTTTTAGAATAGATCGACTTAGTTCTCTAGGTAAATTATTATTTAGTTTCTAGAGGGACCTTCTATAAATATCGTTAATACGGCCCCTAGTTTTAGCCTTTTTATACTTTAAATCTAATATTCGGAACGAATATAATCGGTGTAGGTATATATCTACCTATAAGAGATAATAAGTACTTATAGTATTAGCTCTACCCGTAATAGCTTCTAGTAAACCTTAATAGAGTAAGTATACTAACTAGATACTAGGCTAATCTACTTACGTATTAGGCTAGGATAGCGAAGGGAGTATTAACTAGAGGTCTCGCTATATCCTTTAGAATTACTACCTCCGCTTTATCTTTAATCGCTATAGTTAGTATTAATTTCGGTATTTAGTTTACCGGCCTCTTTTATATATTATAGGTATATATTTATTATTTAAACGATTTCGACTAGTTAAGTAAACGGCTATCGTCTATATTTAAAGACTAACTTATTAACCGTCTCCTAATACTTAAGAGGAGTTATTCTCCCTATATATAAATTTATAATTAAGTAGTATAGAGCGTATTTACTTTAATAAAAGAGATATATTCTCATATAATCTTCGCCTAGATTCGATAATATCGGCCTAGAATAGGAAGTCGAGGAGAAAATTTCTTACTAGGTATAGTAAATACCGTATATATACGTAACTATTACGTTACTATTTATATTAATAATATTTATATCTATATATAGTACTTATAACCTATTACTATTATTAAACGGAGACTATAAAGTAATATAGCCCTTCGTTTATATACTAGCTAAAACTTTAATATATATCTTAGAAATAAAGGTATTTATACTAATTAGTTTATAATTATTTATACTATACGTACCGGCGTCCTAGGTATAATAGTAAATATTATTCGTACTTCGTCTTCGAGTTCTTTCCCGGCCGCTAAGCCCGTAAAAAAGGCGGGAAGTAGAATCTATTAGCGACACTATAGGGCGCCTAGTTCTTCTCTCGTTCGATGAGCTACCGGAATAGTACTAACGTAAATAGATTCTCTATAGCTATCGGCCTATCTTAGGCTCGACTTACGCTTCGTTCTATAGTTAGTCGTATATCTATAACGAGTCTATTAATATCTATTCTTACCTTATCCCGGCCGTTTTCTTCCTACTAGGCGAGTAGTATATCTAGTAGGATCTTACTAGTATATACTCTAGGGTTACTAGCGCCGATTTTATTACTTTCTCTATCTTTATATTTACGACGGTTACGTACCTATCGTTATCGGCGACGTACTATACCTTAATAAACTACTCCTAATACGTAGAATATTTCTACCTACGACTAGATATACTAGGTATAGTAATATTTATACTAGGCGACCTTACCTTAGGAATATATATATTTTTCTAGTATAAACCTTTATTACGTAATATCTACTAGTCTCTAGTTAGTTAATCTCTATCTATTTACGTAGTTTTATTTTCTCCTTATTTTAGACCTAGTACTTAAGTCTAATATTCTTCTTTCCGCGTTTAATAGATTAGAGTTTTCGGGATATTAATAGCCTTTATAATAATATATCCTAAGTTCTAGGGCCTAAAATATCGCCTCTTCCGAGTATTAATATTCGTAGCGACTAGCTTATCCGGTATTACGCCCTTAATCTATAGACTTAACGTATTCGGTATATCGTAGATAATAAGAAAAGCTTTTCCTTATACTCTAGTAAAAGGATATTGCCTTCTATCTAGGACTTTATTTTATATAGTAAGTCTTTTAATTTTATATACTAGATAGAAATTAATTCTAATATATATAGCTCTAAGACTAGGTTTCCCGAAAGTCGATATCCTAGTAAATTCGACCTATACGGCTCCTATTCGATCTTTTATATCCTAGTAGTATATACCGCTATAATCTAGCTAATAGAGTATCTAGATACCTTCGACTATACTTACGCTAATCTTACTTATTCGTCTCTTTAAGTTATATATATATACCGAGTATAAAGCCTCTAGTTATTAGGGCGAGCTTCTAAACGCTAACTATACTATTCTATAGTAGCTACTCTCTATAATAAAGAAAGGTATTACGATAACTACCTTATAGTTCTTCCTAAAGGTAGTAGTAGAGGAATATATATTTATAGTTACGAAGGTAGAGGGAGTATATATATAACTTTATATAAGTATCGGTAAAACCTAGGTATTTCTACTCCGGCCTCCTAGATACGGAGGTACGATCCGTATATATATATCTCTATAGCGGGATCTACTTAGCTTAGCTATTTCTTCTTTAGTTCTATTCTCGTATCTATAGTACTTCCCGGAGGACTATCTAGTTTACCTAGTTAATAAGAATATTATTTAAAATAAATATAATAGCTTCTCCGTCTATATTACTAAATAAGTCCTCGGGGAGACGAGATCCGATACGTATAAGTAGTGGAATAGTAGAATATAGAAGACTTATACTTAGATATACTATAAATTAGTAAATCGCTATCCCTACCCCGTACCCGAAAATATATACGCGATTAGTATCTACGCTATTTATACTCGTATCCGAAGTAATAATAAAGTCGTATAGTATAAGATTTAAGAGTATATCCTACGATGTAAGTCGTACTAGGCATCTTAGATAGGCGAGCCTAATAGGTTCTAAAGTATACCTAATATAAGTTATTATTCTATTAACGAAGAGTACGACGTATATATATAATTTACATTAGATCTATAGGTATAATACTATAGATCCGCTAGCTAGCTACTTATAACTATAGTAGAGAAAGCCTAAGCTATAGTAGATACGATCTATATACTTCTTAGAAATTCTATACTTATTAAAGGTAAGCTAAATTCTATATATTAATATATCTTTAAGTATATATAAGTTAAGTACCCTATAGTTTTCCTCTTTAACCTTATCTTTATAGCCTCCTTAAACTTTATAGTTCGTATTTCTACCTTTAAAGAAAAAGGTATATTATAGAACTTCTAGAATAAGAATCGAGTTTTATAACCTATTAATAAGGATTACTAAATTACTAGTAACGAAATACTCTAACTTATAGAAGGGCTTATACTATAACCTATATTATCGGATACGCCTATCTATTAATCGTAAGGCCGAGTAGTAAAATCGCGATAAAGGTTTATTACTACTTAACTATATATACTAGTATACTACTACGAATCGGGCTAAGCGTAATAGTTAGGGATAGCCTATAAACTAAATATAAAGAAATTACTTCTAGTACGAACACCGTCTATTTAGGTAAGTAAAATTTTCGTACCCTAGTTCTAATATCGATATTATTAGTTCGGAAACTCTTTAGCTAGACTTTTTTAACGAAATTAAAATCGAGATAAAGACCTAGCCGATAATATTATTCGGTAACGATAATATACGCTACTACTCGTAAGTTATTATCGATAATTTAGACTCGGAATATTTTATCGAATTTAAACTTAACGTCGGTCGCGATAGAGTATTTTTAACTAGAATCGGTACGGATATAGAATTCCTACTACTCTTAACGTCTATTCGACTCGAAATATCTCGATGGTACCGCTTACGAATTTCTCTTAACCCTATATACGAAATTATAGGTATTATATATCGTAAGGCTAATAGTACCGCTAACTAGTACTTTATAAGTAAAATACTAATATCTCTAATATTAAAGTCTAAGACTCCCCTCGCGATTTATCGACGCTATAGACGATCGTAGTCTTCCCATCGCTAATTAAGCTTAACCTTTAACGGAAAGATCGATAGTTTTAGTCTCTTAGTCCGTTAGAGCGATATATACTCTAAGCTTATTACGTACGATTTCTCTACGGCTATAGTAGAGGATATAATCGCTAATCTTTCTAGGCTACGATATTTAGTAAAGCTAATAAATGCCCTAACCCGAGCTACTACGGGCTACGACTAGGATAGCTTAACCTTTAATAGGACCTATACTAGTCGTAGATATAGTACTATCTACTTTTACGACGATAACTTAGACGACGCTAGTTAGGAGATAGATTTCGTCGTCTAACTTCTCGCTTACTTAAGATTCGGAGTATATATAATTTTAATTAAAGATAACTATAGTATAGACCTTATACCGTTTTTATTCGTACGGAGAGATAAATAGTAAGAGTAGCTCTCGTATTACCTATATTTACGTACTTAAGTAATATCTCCCTTAATATTCTAACGCTATCTACTAAGATATAGGATCTAGCTTACGCGAATAAGAGACTTCGCGACGTAAATAGTATCTAGCTACCGGTTAGCTATAAGGTCTATAAAGTATTATATTACACTACTTTAAGAGAGCGTAATAACTACGGTATTTCGCTCTACGATACGTACTTCGACGGATCTAGTGCGGTATACTTATCTTCTAAGCGGCTTATCCTTAATATACGCTTAGCGTAAGTTACCTCCTTAACGTACTTACGATATACTAATATTTCCCGCTAGTTATATCTATTAGTATCCGAGAAGCCCGCGAGGTCTATCCTAAGACTTATAACTTATAGCCTTCCTTAACCGCGAGCTAGGGTAGAGCGGGTACGACGTACTTACCGATTATTAAGTATACGAAAACCTAAGCTATATTAATAAATATACTATTCTAATTATAGCTTCGTATCCTAAATATTAGAGTAGGTCGACGATGTTAGTATAGAAGGAAAATTAGCGCTAAGGAGGCTTATTAATCTATTTAGGCGGTAACGGATTCTACTAGGTCGTATTATATCGGTCGGAGAGACTATATAGGATCGAGGTGCGCCGCGGTACCGAAGGCTATCGTACCTTTTAACTTCCGCCCGGTAAGGGAGTCTATAGTATAACCGGCGAAGTAGGTAGCCTTTAGCGACGCGGCGTACTTACTTCTAATAGGCTTTATAAACTCGGGTCGGTCGTAGTAGGAGTTAGCCTAGGTTATATATACTTACTAAATAGGAATTTAGTGTACGACCTAATACTTATATAGTTATAGAAAGGAGTCGACGTTAACTAATCTTATATACCCGAATAGTACGGTGTCGTAGGGCGTCTCGCTATAGGCGACGAGATTAATCGATAAAATATCTCGTTAGGTTTACCGTATTCCGTAAAGGTACTAGGTTCTATAAGTACTAATTCGAGCTTCACCGTACTTCTAGAAGACTATTTTATCTTCCCTAAGGAGTCTAAGATTATATAAGTTACTAATACGACTAATAACTTAGTATTATATAGTAACCTAATTATATACTATAATACTACTTAAAGTTTCGTTTTTATAGTAGGTAGTATTAACTTTATCTACGCCTTAGCGTATAAGGTATTTCGAAATTTCGTCGCTCGATTAATAGTAAATATTTTATACTAAGCGAATAGGTTTCTTCGTACTATACGTCGATAGATAATATATAACCTTAAGAGGTACTAGGGGTCTACCTCTAAATACGAGTCGCCCTATCTATAGGTTATATATTATCGAGCTATAGTCTACTACTTAGTATATTAGTATAGTATTATTTATATATATTTCACCGTTACCCGAGTATCTATTAGGAGCCCTAGGGTTAGAAATATAATAGATAGTTAAATTAGATTATTAGGAACGAAGTTCCTAGTAAGTATATAGCTAATAGGTTTAAGAATACCTCGTACTTCGTACGGGATATCTAGTCTTTTTAAGCGATCCTTAAGGGCTAACGGACCTATATCTAATATAGATCTAGAGAAATTACGATAGATAAAGACTTTCTTACTAGTTATTTAGTAAAGGGGAGAGTAGGTATACCGGATAGTATATTACGATTTATTATAAGCTATCGTCCTAGTTAAAGGAGATAACGAAGAGGCGTAACTATAGAACTAGTCCTTTACGTAATTTATATAAACTATCGAAGTACTACTTATTATAACGTTAACTAAGTAAATAATAGAGATTACCTATAAGACTTAAATATTACGAACTAGGTTACGAAGTAGGTAAGTTAGTAGATAGAGTACGATACTATATTACGTAACTAGACTAAAGTAAACTAATAACTAGTAGACTTAATAAGCCGCGTAATAATAGTGCGGACTAGTACTCTATATATATATCTATTACCCTATATAGGGCTATTTATAGTTAACTTCGTTAAAAATCCTATATCTATATTTAGGGTAACTCGAAGGAGAATAGTTCCCTTTATACTTTACCTAGTTACACTCTTAATACCTACTTATTAAGGAACCTACCTTAGTTAGTACTACTTCGCGAATAGGACTATAATATTAAGGAGATATCTACTAAGCGCCTAGCGAGATTATTTTTACTAAATTACTCCTCGTTAATATAGTATATTCTTAAGTCGCTAAAAGCCTTTTATTACCTTAGAAATCTTATAAAATAAATTAGTAGTTAAAGG